TTCACGAGGAGGAAAGGAATAAACTGAAATGTATAAACACCCCATAATGGAGCCAAAGGCTATCTAACCAGTTTTATTCTCTCCCCTACAAATTAATTTTCCTGGGTTTATTCATTTATCATCACTAATAGATATAAGTGGCCTATAACCCAAGGCACTTTTTTTTTTTTTTTTGAGAGGTTTTCGCTATAGGGCGCGTGCGCTCACCAGACAGACAGAGAGAGATATAGAGACAGAAAGTGAGAAATCACCCCCCAGGGGGGATGGTCACACCGCAATCCCTTCTGCTCCATTCTCCTCTCGGGATCTTGGGCACACACGCACACACACCCGGCTTGAGTTTTAAGCCACCGGGTCCTTTTATTCTCTCCCCTACAAATTAATTTTCCTGGGTTTATTCATTTATCATCACTAATAGATATAAGTGGCCTATAACCCAAGGCACTTTTTTTTTTTTTGAGAGGTTTTCGCTATAGGGCGCGTGCGCTCACCAGACAGACAGAGAGAGATATAGAGACAGAAAGTGAGAAATCACCCCCCAGGGGGGATGGTCACACCGCAATCCCTTCTGCTCCATTCTCCTCTCGGGATCTTGGGCACACACGCACACACACCCGGCTTGAGTTTTAAGCCACCGGGTCCGGGACGCAAACCGCGGTCGACTACATGGGAGTCCAGCGACATAGCCATTATGCTAACTGCTGGTTCCCTAACCCAAGGCACTTTTGAACAAATGAGTGAAGTATTGAAGATTTTTAAATGTATAATTGCAAATCTTGCTGCAATAAAATTTAAAAAATCCAAATGCAGAAAATTAAAAACAATCTTCCCACTTAAGGTTTTGCACATTTAAAAGAACATCATCACTAAGAAAAGGACAGTAGGCAGGGAAAAACTTAGGGATCACTGACACAGTTGTGTTCCTGGTTATCTCAAGTACATAAAGAGCTCTCTACTCCTGACAGCCAGGGAAGAGGCCAGAGGGCCTGGAGAAGTCAGATGGAATCAGGGGAAGATGCTGGCAGAAGAGCTACAGCTCCATTCAGACAGAATTGCTCTTACTGCCTCCTTGACAAGGTAGTTTGTCATGTGAGGCTGTTCAGACCCCATCAGCAGAAATAAGGTGTGTTTGCTAAGAAATTGCCTCTGCCCTGAGCAACTAATGCCTTTTGTTCCACCTTCCAGTATAAGGACTAGAACTGGACAAAGGAGAGCAATGAATTCTACCAGAAATCTACATATTCATGACAAAGGTTTTCTCCCGAAGTCTGAATAGTTTAAAAAATATTTACAAACACATACACAAAAATTGTAATCACTGTTTTTAGCTCCTTAAATATAGAGAAGTCAACAGATGGATCTAGTTTGCATTTATATGCAAAATTAGATGAGGAGTTTGGAGACCTACTTCCATCCTTTCTGCCATTTGGAAATGACATATTATACTCACTGATTCTAATTCTAATTATCTCCATATTGCACATTTCATAATTTCTGAGAAAAGCTAGTGTCTTTCCTCATGTGCCAGCTATTGCTTACAAAGCTTGGTTTCATAATTTCATAATCATTGCCCTGTCAATAGTAAATTACAGGAAATTACAGTGTACTAAACAATGTAAGGCATATGAGACCTATATTAGCTTCATAAAAATAATTTCAAATTATTAGCCTCATAAAATTAATTTTAAAATAATCAAGGAAAGCTATGTAAAAATGACTAAAATCTCATTTTAATAAGTAGTTTTGTGAATTTTCCTAATCATAAAAAGTTAGAGAAATTCAATATTTTAGTTTATTTTAAAAAGCTGAAAATGTAAGTTAAGTGAGTTTTTAGATAATTCTAGAGCAGACCCTCAACATTTCCTGAAGATGGTAAGTGGTTACATATGTTTAATCATTAGATGAGATAAGGGGCTCATAGAGCTATATAAATCTTTTCAGTAGGGTTACTTTTTTTTTGAGAGGATTTTTTTTGTTTTCTTTTTTTTTTTTTTGCTATAGTGTCTGTGGGCTTGCCAGAGAGACAGGGAGGAGAGACAGAAAGCGAGAAATCACCACCCAAATGAGATGGCCATATCACAGTCCCTTCTCTATTCTTCTCTCAGGATTTTGAGCACGCGCGCACACGTACCTATCATGAGTTTTAATCCGCAGGATCTGGGACTTGAACTGCTGTTGATTATGTGGGAGTTTAGTGATGTAATCATTATGTCATCTGCTGGTCCTGACTTTTCAGTAGTTTATAAAGAGATAAGGAAGGGCCAGCAGGTGGCCTAGGGGTAAGGCACTCGACTCCCATGTGACCAGCTGTGGTTTCAAGCCAGACGCAACAGCTTGAAACTCAAGCAGAGTACATTCATGTGCGTTCCCAAAATCCCAAGAGGAAAATGGAGAAGATGCGATTGTGGTATGGCCATCTCCCCTGCGGGGTGATTTCTTGCTTTCTGTCTCTCCAGCGAACATACACACCTTACGGCAAAAATCTCTTTAAAAAAGATAAAAAAGGATTAATAAGCCTTTTTATTAAAAATAGAGGCAACTGAGTTGAAAATATTAAGTTTATTCCTTTTAACCAAACACACTGAAATGTAACTGATGTCACTGGAATAAAAGGCATTCATTTTGCCTGCCCATTGCAAATTTAGAAATATAGATAATTTAGACAGGAGTTAGGAAATAGTTACTTTATTTATATCTTTACAAATTTTATAATAATAAGGACAATGTAAACAAGCTTGCCAGAATGTTTTATCTGTGAAAGATAATAAATCATTTCAGGCTCATTCCTTCCCATCCTTTCTAACATTTCTAGAGAGCTCACTGTGTGGGTGTATTCATTTCCTACTGCTGCTGTTAACAAATTACTACAAACGTGATGGCTTAACAGCAACACTAATTTCTCCTACAGTTCTGCTGAGAAATGTAACAGTGGCACTGTGCTAAACCTGAGGTGTCCCCAGGTCTGTACTACTTTTCAAAAGGCTTTGAGGGAGAACCGTTTCCTGGCCTTTCTCAGTTTCTCGAGGTCATTCCACATTCCTTAACTTGTGGCCCCTTCCTCCGTCTTCAAAACTAGCATCTCTCTGACCATTCTTCAGTCACGTCTCTCTCTGACCACAGCTTAGGAAGAGTCTCTGGTTTTAAGGATTCTTGTGATGATGTTACTCTCACCCAGATAAACCAGGACAATCTCCCCATCTCATGGTCCTTACCCCAATCACATCTACAAAGTCTTTTTGCCACGTGTGGAGGAAACATAGTCGTAGGTTCCAGGGACTGAGAACTGGCTCTCTTTGTGGGAGGCCATTATTCTACCTGCTGTAATGGAAAGTAATATTCAGTTCATGGGACTGTGAGCTAGTGTCAGAAGATATTAATAAAAATATATATTTTTTTAAGTAATTTTGGTGTGTCGTAATGCATATTTATTCATACTTACCACAGACATAATTATTCACTTTCTTGAAAAACATACTTTCTTAGCTTAATTAAAATTCTTTTTCATGGCCAGACGACCCTTATACTCGCCAGAGAGAGACGGAAAGGAGAGAGGGAGAAAGCACCCTGAATCGGACTTGGTCACACTGCAATCCCTAATATCTGACCCAAATCATTGTTTCATAAACAAATACCAAGAAGGGAATGGTAGGCAACCAATAGAGAGCCAAATGATCTGACTCTATCATTTCTTTCACAGGAATTTTTCTAAGGGATTTCAATAAGAGCAAAAAAGTAGCTATACAGGAAATTTCAGCAAAACATTAGCTATACTAGTAAGAATTTGTAAACATATCTTTAGCATCAAATACAACCAATTTGCATATATAAAAATTAAGTGAAAAACAGATTATATTGCATATATACAGTTTTATTATTACAATTATATTGTGAAAAATACATAGATTTTTGGAAGGCAATGGAACTATTTTTTTAGAGTTTTTGCCTTTAGGGCACATGCACTTGCCAAAGCGAGAGAGATAAATATACTAATTGTCCATATTTATGAGGTACGATCCAATTTTTGAAAATATAATGTACGATGATTAAATCAGGACAATCAGTGTATTATCTCAACCATTTGTCATTACTTTGTGTTGGAAACATTCAAAATTCTGATTTAGCTATTCTGACATTTAGTTATTTTGAGATATTGTTAAGTAAAGTCACTCAACTGTACTTGATAATACTAGAAATTGTTTCTTCTTCCTACCTACAATCGTATTCGTACCAGCTATCATCCCTCTAACCTAATTCCATCCTTCCCAGCTTCTATGAAGGAATCTTTCTAAATTTCCACTTATGAATAAGAGCATGTACATATACCTATATTTCAAAAACAGAGTTGGCATTACATGAGCAAAATTGAAAATACCAGAAATTCTAAGATCTAACTCTCTGTTTCTGTTGACCATCAACACAAGAACCAGTACTTTTCACCTTGTAGGAAAAAGACACAGACTAATATTGTCAGCATCTTTCTCTCTCTCTCTATGTATATATATATATATGTGTGTGTTTTCAATTATCATAGGATGCATGCATTATTATTTTTAATTTGATCAGAGACAGAGAGAGAGAGAGAGGAAGGGAAAGGGAGACAGCAACCTGCCAGGAGTGGGACTTGAACCTCAGTCAGCCATGTGGGAATCCAGTGCCTTTAACCACCACACCACCTGCCAGCTCCAGTGTGAAATCCTTATAAGCAGAAATGGATACCAGGATAGAAAATATTCCAGGGATAGAGAATAAAGCAAAGAAGTAAAGGCTAAAAGGTAAGAAAGAATGACAAGGATGTTCTAAGACTAATGAGTTGTAACTAGAGTGGAGAATCTGTATAGGCCAGCAGTGGGAGATAAGGTTAGAAAGATATATTAAAGCAGTATTGTAGAAGGTTTTGGATACTAGAAGTATTGGTAGACACCTTTTGCAAAGTACTATGTAGAGGAGATGCAAATAACCTTATTAATCTTTCAAACAATTATCTGACCTTCTTTCTTTAGATAATGATGTTGAAAATGATCTTCAATCAGACATCAGTGGAGCACTGCAAGACACACACGGAAATGTATAGAGAATGCAACTTCTTCTTAATAGCTGTTCGCCTGGCTTCACTCAACCAAATCTTGGATCCTTGGGTTTATCTGCTGCTAAGAAAGATCCTTCTTCGAAAGTTTTGCCAGGTAGCAAATGCCGTCTCCAGCTGCTCTAATGATGGACAAAAAGGGCAGCCTATCTCATTATCTAATGAAATAGTACAGGCAGGAGCATGAAAGAGAACGTTTGAACAACTTGCATGTTCACACGTTGGGCAAGAAATAACCCTAAACCTTACTGTGAATTTAGGCATCTTTGGCGTGCCAGTGTTTAAGCAAAGAAGTAGAATTTTTAGTATAAGGCTAAGTGGTTTCAGAGCATAGATAATCCTCATGTGCCAAAACTATTAAAATTCAAACAATGGAAAATACATTAATAACAGTCTACTGTTTTTTGGATATCTGCCATTTCTAAATGAATATGTGATTACTTATGTGATGAAAACAGGGTTTTTAAAATAAATGATCTTGTTTTATTGAGGGGTCAAGGATAGATAATATTCCAGTATACCGAGTACTTGGGGATTTAGCAACATGTATCATTGAAGACAGGGGATAGCAATTTTTGTTCAAGGATGTTGTTCAAGGATGTTCTCTTTCATTGCCTCTTTCACTTTTCCTGTGTCACATTTCCCCCATACATTAATGAGAAAAATGTATAATGTATCCATGATATTTATTGATATTGGTGTTATTTAAATATTCCTCAAAATATAAACTTAGCTTCTAATTTTACAAAGCTTATAGTTTGGTTGGCTTGGTAATTAGGTTTACTCTTTCTCTGAGTAGGAGTCAATTTCATTTGATTCAAATATGGTGCAGTTGGTGATCACTCAAATTGTTTTTCTTTTCTTTAAAATTCATTTTGCATTCCTACAAGCCTGGAGAAGATTGATGAAACTGATCTGTCAGTTAAGTGATACTGTTCAGAATGCTCTTTAAGCACTGATTTGAGTGCTAAGTATAGGTAATCTGATGAACTGTTTCTCTTGACTTTTTTTTTCCCACCAAAAGTCTTCTTTAGTGTTTTGAATCTTTAAATACCAACTCTGATTCTAAAATAAATAACTATCTTGAAGGGTCATTGAATACTTTCCAAAGTTTGGCCTATTTATTAAATAATTGTAATGATGCCTCATAGCTCTTTCTCTGCCCTCTCCTCCAAGTAGCTCTATCTAATTATAGATTTTAAAATGTTTTTCCTATAGTTAGCATGATTTCTATCTAATTATTTATTTTAAAATGTTTTTCCTATAGTTAGCATGAATACAACCTTGACAGCCAAACTTGACATCTTTGTGACACTAGCAGATCACTACATTAAATTTTGGGAATTGGTGCTTTAAAAAAAAGTCTCCTTAAGAAACACAGCAGTCCTTTAAGTTAATCTACACATAATGCTTGTCGTAGTCTTTGACTCATTAATATGTAAGCATACTAACCTTTTCTTTCAAAGATTTTAATTTATGGTTTATTTCATTACTTTAGTTTTTTTTTTTTTAGGTTGGATATTTATTTTTTTTTATAGTACTTTATTTGTGCTGTGGTAGGCATATGGGAAGAATTAATTTCAACAAGTTCAATACATCTAATCGATCAACATGCATGCCACCTCAGGCCAATCAGGAATAATCTATTTAAATTATTAAATTTAAATAATTTTGGCTATGCCCAATTGAGTGAGAAGACAAAATCTGCTGACAGTGCTTATATTATTCATGATGGTTCCACTAATTTAGAATTTGGAAAAGATGATAAATAATCCATACTAAGACTACATTATAAAATTTCTCTATGCATAGAATTGGGTTATCTCATAGATCACCTTACAGACAAACCTGCTTTCATTTTGGGGGGACAAAAAGTGTAATTAAATGTTCTTACAGTAAAAAGATTTTTCCAAACGGTCCTCCGACCCTACATTCTAATCAAATAGACACACACACAGTGTCGATTTGAGCGGTGTGAACGTGATTGGATTATTCCTTCCAGCATCTAGGATAGCAGCTGAAATAAAGAAATTTTTTGATAAATATCCATTCAGCAAATGAATGCAGTAAAGTCTGCCAGAACCACATGCACAATGGTGAGGCACACGCCATATGGTTCAAGTGCTTCGAACATACCATTACAATCTATTTAACTGATAAAATGAGTGATTGCTGCTTATTTAATTACAAAAATGCAAATTTATCTTTAAAGGAATAGTGTTCTGTCATTATTGTACAGCAAATTGTTTAATTTGTCTTAATAATTAGGAGACTAATACTTTCAAATATTTATGATGATTATCATCAAAATAGTCACTTTCCATTAAACCACACTAATACAAAAATACGAAAGAGTTGAAACTTATTCTTGAGTATAAAATAAATTCCAGGGGATACATGGTAGGAGTAGGTGAATGGTAGTTTTTGAATATGCTTAAAAAGGGGATAGGAAGAAAGAAATTATGTCAATGGCATCTGAGTTTTATTATCTAGGTAGTCATCTATCAGTCCGGGAAAAACCTGATAAGTGAAAATCCCAAATGGTTTCAACCTTTGAATGACAGTTGAGGTTATATTTCAGAGATGTTGTGAAGAGGCTCTAGAAGTGGTTGGAAAGTGAGGGACCAGCAGATGGCATAATGGTTATGTCACTGGAGTCCCATGTAGTCCACTGTGGTTCAAGTTCCAGACACAGCAGCTTAAAACTCATGCTGGGCACATGTGCCCAAAATCCTGAGAGGAGAATGGAGAAGGGATTGTGACATGGTCATCCTCCTGGTTGGGGAGGGTGATTTCTCACTATCTGTCTCTCTATCTGTCTCTGGCTCTCTGGCAAGCACATGCGCCTTGTAGCAAAGATCTTTCTCTAAAAAAAAGAAAGTGGACATCTATAGTCACTACTGAAGGGCATATATGTCTCTAAGTTTAACTTTACTGGCCTTTAAGTTTCTCTCATATTTCAGTACTTAGTTTATCTATGTATGTATCCAAGCAGAAAAAAAGGTATGCATTAATTATGACTATTTTTTTTTTTTGAGAGGTTTTTGCTACAGGGCACATGCACTCACCAGAAAGACAGAGAAAGACAGAGAGACAGAAAGTGAGAAATCACCTCCCATGTTGCAATCACTTCTTCTCCATTCTCTTCTCGGGATTTTGGGCACGCATGCACATGCTCCTGGTGTGAGTTTAAGCCACCGGGTCCGGGACTCAAATCACAGTCGATTACATGAGAGTCCAGCGACATAGCCATTACGCTAACTGCTGGTCCCAATTATAACTATTTTTAAACTTTGAAGTATTGGTTAAAAAGCTACAGGAGGCCTAGAAATTTATGTAGAAAAAGTGAGTGAGTGGAATGTTAAAATATATTTAAAACCAGCAAGTGTCAGTTTAAAAGTGGTCCTAATTTTCCAAATACTAAATGTACATGCTATACTGTTTTGTAGCACAGAATGATAGCATACCATCTAATTAGAATATTTTGCTGCCAAATAAAATAGGTACAGTTAATGTCTTAAAAATATTCCTAGGATGAAGAAATAATATGTGTTATCTCAAGATTTACCAAATTGACCTCATGCTTGATACCAAGGTATTTTAAGTAAATGTAAGTGTTTAATCACACCAGATTTGAATTCTTCTGACGTAAAGGTACACATATATTTCTACTTAACACTTCTTTATTTTGTAAAGCATCTCTTGACCATATTATGGAAAATAAATTGTGGAACCTCATGTAAGTTAACTATGAAAGATTCTGCAATAGACAAATCAAAATCTGACAAATAGAATTTTAATAAGATAGGTATTCTGTGGCAGTATTCTATTATTAGATTTTCAAGTGAATTAGGGCTTTTATTTATTCAGTGCTTTCTATATTTGTTTTGTTTTTCGACCCCCAAATTAGTGATTGATTTTCAACCTTCCCCACACTAACCATCATTTAATAGTTCTTAGAGGTTGCTATCATTTCTGAGACGGAAAATAGAAAACTTTTCTTTCCAGAAATATTTGACATGTATACTGTGAACTTATTCTTTTAAATTATTATTATTACTATTATTATCATTTGCCATATAGTGTGTGCATTCACCAGAGAGACAGAGCGAGACAATGTACCCAATGTGATTTTCAAGCCACCGAGTCTGAGAGTCAAACTGTGGTGGACAGCGTGGTGGACAAAGTGGCCTTAATCACCGTGCCACTTGCTGGCCTTGAATTTATTTTTTATGATTTAGCTCCCAAGGCTTCTCTGGAAATACACTAGGAGATGAATGACATAGAATGTTTGCAGAGCATTTATTATCACAAACACATTAAAAGCTTTATTTGGAATTAAAATGTCTTTTTTTAATCTATGAAAAAAGTTTAGGCTATTGAGCACGACACATTTTCACAACTGTTTATTGCTTGTTTTGTGCTTTAAAATGTCTCAAAAATCTGTTAAAATTGAGGTCTAAATAAATGTACCAAAATGTGCAAGTGTAGCTAAGTTCATAAGACTGTTTTCTGAGTTGCAATAAAATACTGATACGTGGTAACATATGTCTGTGATTTTTCATGACATAGATTATGAGAGAGCCAATTAGCAAAATTAAGGCTCAACTTAAGTTTCATTCAGAAACTGACATCAATTCAGTATTATAAGGAAACTAAGTAGAGATTATGAATGAAATGTGAATTTGAGAATTAGGAAAAATATTTTATTTTATATATCATCTGCTTTATAATTCATAAAATGAAGCTTCTACTTAATGTACCATAAGCAGAGTACAATATGATTCTCTAGAAATACAAGTCAATCAAATATGTATAATATTCATTTTTATGGCATGCATTTTTTTTTACTGGGACTGAAAATGATTTTATTTTCAAAAGAATGGCATCAATCATTTTTATATAATAAGAAATTAAAATATCTACTGGATTATATATTTCTTCAAATATCTCCATTCTCTTATGAAGATAAAATAATAAATATATTTACTATTGTGCATGTGAATTTGTTTTTAAGGAGACAGAGAATGAAGTGATATTTCTAGTAGGCCATGTCTTAGTAGGTGAAACTTATATCCTTAAAAAAATCTAATTTAC